TGTAATATAGTTTTGAAGTTCAGGTATTGTGATAAAAACCACTTTCTATAGTCTTCCTCATCTTCTTTCTTCAGAAGTGTTATAGTTTCCTTGTAGAGGTCTTTTACATCTTTGTTTAGGTTAATTTACACCTAGGTATTTGATTTTTTGTGACTATTGTAAATGGCAATTCGTTTTCCATACATTCTTTGTCAGTTTGTCTCATTGTTAGTGTTATAGAAATGCTAAATGAATTTTCTATGTGATTTTTATATCCTGACTACTTGCTATAGCTATTTGTTTGATGTCGAGAAGCTTTCTGGAGTAGAGTTTTTTGCGTCTTAACGGTTATTAGGATCATGTCGTCTGCAAATAGGGATATTTTGGACAGTTTCTTTACCTATTTTGTATTCCTTTTATTCCTTCTTTCTTGCCTAATTGCTCTGGCTTAGGAATTCCAGTCTATGTTGAATAGAGTGGAGACAGTGGTGCCCCACTTCTTGAGCCATGTCTCCAGTTATTTTTTGCTCAATTATTTTCAGATAGGGTCTTGTGCTTTTGCCCGAGGCTGGCATCTGTGTAGCTGGGCTTATAGATGAATCAATGTTGCTCAGCCTTAATGATTTTTTAATGGAAGCTGGTCCCTATCTTCTTTGCATTATTCCAAGAATTGATATGCTCAACTCTCTACAAATGTTTATCTGTAAAATAGTAATGATAATTTAGCACAAGACTAAGTATCATTATATATACATTGGAATGTAGTTGTAAATTGATTGCAACCATGTCCCAGTACACAGTTAGCTCAATGCAAGCATTTTCATGATGATTGATTATGTTGATATACTAGAAACTCAAAACAATTACACAACAAAATAATGGATTTTTACCGATGAATTGAACAGGTCCATTTTTCACATTTTCTGACTTCTGGGAGTTTATGTATATTCGTAGATTCTTAATCTGGTCTTCTTTTCTTAAGACACTCTACTTTTGAACTTAGTTCATTCTAAATAAAGAAGAGTTAAAATAGAACTTTAGTATTCGACTTTTATTCAAAAATATTAAAAAAGAAATGAGCTTAAATTGATATCAAATTCAATTTAATATTTTATTTTTAAATATAATTCCTCTATTTATTGTAATCTGTTTAATTATGTATGATATGCTTTTATAGTTTTAGTTAAATCAATAGAAACATCAAGATGAACGCTCACCTCAGATCTTGATTATATACTTGCATGCTTAACTAAATCTTTAACTTGGAAATTTCATAAATTAGTTGCATCGGTTTAAAGCATGTGAACAGGCAACAGAGCAAACCATAGTTAATAAAGGAAGGAAAAGAAATTAAAAGAAAAGGAAGCATTCATTCACTGCTTCAGAATCACCCAACATAGGTTAGAAATGACTGAAAGATCAACTGCTCAAGCTAATGCAACAGAAGTACCACATTATTTAACCAAACCCACAAAATAAGAAAAAAAATCTCAACATGACCCCAATAATTGAATTATGTATCATTAATAAAGCTACAATAATGTCATTAGCAAAGTAGCAAGCACCAATTAGAAGAGACAGTCAAGTGATAATCAAAATTTAAAAAATTATACTTTTAATAAGATTTTTGTTTGGGGAAAAGTCCTGTAAGATTTTTTTTTCCTTCCCATAAATTACCCATTTGGCTCTATACTGACATACTTTTTAATGAGTTATGAATTTGGAATTTAGATTTGGATTAGGGTTAATTATGTAGTTCCTTTATAATATTAATACTTTTGATCAAGCTACTTAGGTTCAGGATTATCAACTACTACCTTGTTGACTTATTTTATAGGAAATATTGGAAAGAGGATGACTTTGTTTGTATTGTTCAACTACCTAAAAATATAAAGGTCTCCTTCCTATTGAAATATGTGTGGCATTTAATTTTTGAGTATGTAAAGTTTGTGCTGAAATAATCCAAGTGATGAAAGGGATATATTTTTTATTATCTATCTTTCTTAATCAGAAAAACATTAAAGAATAAAAGGAAATTTTAATGGAATGTAAGGGATTTAACAAAAATGGTTATCTTATTTAAGTAATATTTTTGGATGCTTAATTCAAATTCAGTCCTGACTAGTTTTAGATTTCAGACCAGTGCTAGAGTTGACATTCCTCGTTTAGGTCAGTGCTATCTGTCAGGGAAGATGGATGGTCAAGTTCTTGGTGTTGCTGGAGAAAGAATTCAGGGGCAGACACACAGAGGAGTCTTCAACATAGCAGGCTTATTTAAGCCAAAGCTATGTTTGATTAAAGCAGAAGTGATTAAAGCAATTGAGCACCCCCAAAGGAAACTGAGGGTGGGCAGCTTGACCAAAGAGTCAAGTGCCCCAAGCCCTCAGATCTTAGGTACTTTGATGGATGAGGTTTAATGATCATGCTAAGGATATGTATATAATTGAGGAGTTTTCCAAGAAATGAAAGGGCATTTCTAAGAATTGGAGAATGGGGAGTGGTTTGCCTTAGAAGGTGACCTCAGAACCAAGATGATGATTTGAGGGGAGGTGTGTGTGTGAAACCACAACAATCATGAGATGTAAATGAGGCCTCTGCCCAATTGTAGAGATGGGAAAGCCCCTTTTGGGGTCACAGCTGGTGACCACTGGCCATTGTATTAAGAAGTAGCCCTAAAGTGATCAACAGTTACTCTAGTACAACGGTGGAGCAAGATGTTTGGCAAAATGTACATGGATATGTATATGGATATGGTGCTGCACCTCTCCCCTGGCTCCTCTGTGTTATTATTGCCTTTCTACCCATCTATCAGGACTGGGCCAAATATATGGAATTACCATAATGAAACCACACAATATTATTATTGTATGATTAAAAACAAACAAACAAAAAAACCAAAAAGAGTGGGCCCATTTTAGGTGCTCAGTTGTCACATAAGGTTAGTGGCTACCCAGTTGTAAAGCATAGTCTTAGACATTTATATTGATTATACTTTAAACTGGATCCATCTTTTATTTCTCTTCCCTTCCTATTTCTAACTTTTGTGTAAGAAAATCAAATAACAAAGAACAAAGCAATCAATCTTAACTTTAGAAGATATTCCTTTCTATTTCTCATTTGAAATAGCACTTCATTTTATATTTTGGCTTTCATAAATAGAAAAAGATGAACTTTGCTAAAGATAAATGAATTGTCCAATTGACATATCATTCAGAATACTGAATGAAAGAGAAAGTGTGTGAAAAGTAAATATGATTTATACACATGATTTGACTATGATTTGACGATTTCATCCATCGTGATGAAAGAATTTAAAATTTCACCTGTAATTTTCAGCAGGTGAAACGTTAATCTTCAGGAGACAAAGATCTCCAAGTTATAAAACTTGTTAAATATACGTCGAGCATGATGACACCTAACCTTTTTTATTCGCCCCTCTAAAATTTACCATTTAAGCATCCTATATTACTGTATTCCCACTTGAAAGTAATCTATGGCTTTGGTGATTTTTGACAAAATTCTTAGTAAAGCCAGGGAAAAGACCACCTGTTCCAAGGTTATATTTTGACTTTTCCTAAAATGTAGGCTTTAAGCTCCAAAATTGGAGCTTAAATCTTGGTAACTGTACTCTAGAGATGATGCTCTTACCATGACATTAGATTACCTCTCTTTCAATAAAACCCCATCTTCTTGACTGAAGTCCACTGTACTTTTGATGACATTTTATACTTTGTCTCATATGCCTACATAAGCTAAATGAAAGTCAGTGGAGAACTTGTAGACTGCATTTAATACCTATGAAATATAGGAACAACTTTAGTTTCTAGGGAGAATGGAAATAGTAGCTTTGGCACAGAATTCTTCTTTAAAAAGGAAGAAGTTTAAAAACTAAATAATACTAAGAATTAGGTCCCTTTGGGCTACCCATGTAGAAAAACTGAAAGGAAGTTGCAAATTAGCTCATATTTCAACTACATTAAGACACTGGCTCTTTGTTTTGGGAGGTTCATATGTTGCTTCATATATCTGATAACAGCTATGGGTTCTTGTTCCAGAAAAATGAGTATGCATTCAAAAATTCTGCAAAATAGCTGGGCACCGGTGGCTCCCACCTATAATCCTAGCTACTGTGGAGGCAGAAATCAGGAGGATTGAGGTTTGAAGCTACCACTGGACAAACAGTTCACGAGACCCTATCTCAAAAAAGCCCATCACAAAAAAGAGCTAGTGGAATGGCTCAAGCAGTAAGAGCATATACTTAGCAGGCATGAGAGCCTGAGTTCAAACCTCAATGCCAAAAAAAAAAAAAAAAATCTGCAAAATAATTTTATAGTGTATGTGGAATCTAGGTTAAAGACATTCTGTACTAAAGAAAGTCTCTGAAATTTTAGGACAATTTTTAAGTATCTAGATTGTAATGGCTTCTGGATTAGTTTCTCTTAACATGTAGTATAGGATCATACTCTTAACATGTAGTATAGGATCATACTTAGAAAATTTAACAGACTTGGTTTATTTCTAAAAATTCCATGAATCAGCTTTTCCAGATATTATATTTTTAACAACTCAGGAATATACTTTCTAAGAAAAAAGAAATCCACTAATATGAATTCACACAAAAAACAGTGAACTAGAAATTAAAATTCACATTGGTCCAGTAGGAAATGGGCACAATCTAGGTAGTATTTAAAGTACTCTCAATAAGTTAATATTGATAATATACAAAATACAAGGAAACTATTTACTATAGACAAATCCATCAACAGGAAAATCCACTAACCACACCAACTACCCAAGATATTTTTATCCCTCCTTCTCCTACCTAGGTAAGCATGATGGAAACAAATATGATTTAACTATTTTTAGAACACATAAATTAAATATTTCTTACATTTTCTGAATTATATATAAATATAAATGGTTAATCCTTGACATTTCAATCTCAGAAATGATCATCTTTAAGAGAATGTGCTTTTTAAAAAAGTGTGATTCTTTTTCAGTTTCACATTTCTATCTCTTACCTCTTGATCTTTTTTAGTTGTTCTTTCTAGAGCCTCGAATTCATCCAAATCACTTTTTTCTTTTAATTTCAATCCCAGATCTTCATTTTCTCTTCTTAGGTGTTCATAGTCTAACACCAGATTGTCATATTTAGCACGCAGTGAGCTCAACTCACTTTCTAAGTTTTCCTATTGTAAACAAAACCAAAATTTCTAATCAGAGGCAATTCAAACCACACATTCTTTACTTCCTTAACTAAAATTAAGGTTATTTGAATAATTAATTTAATGTGGAACAACCACTCAGTGTTTTTGGCCATTCTCCGTTTTACTGTCTTTCTAATAGTCTACATTTGGTAAACTAGGTAACTTCAACTAAAAGTTTATTTTGAAAGCAGAATAAATTGATATCATATAAATAAATCACAAATCTGCCTGTGTAGGGAAAGTCCAATTGGGAAGGCAGAATAAATATTGGGAAGCCATTTTGACCACAGATCCTTAACTCCTCAGTTTAAACGCTCATCTGACCCCTATTTGTCATATGGCTCCAAATTGGGGAAGGGAAAGATATTATTGATTGACCTAAATCTCTAATGGTGGCCATGTTTTATCATACCATATATAAGGAAGCCTATTTTCATACCATTATAAGAAAGAAATAAACTATGGTCTTCAAAAAAAAAGCCTAAGTCACTGATTCTTTTTTTTAAAACAATGTGTATGTCTTAGGGACACAAAAACACTGCCCATAATATTTGATAGTCATCAACTAATGGAAATAATAATTACCCATAAGCACAGCAATTGTATTCCAAAATTATAATAAAACTATCTTTAACAAGTATGTTTACACAACTATACTACATGTCTTTGAACATGAGCAGTCTATAAAATAAACCTGGCTTACTGAACTATTCACCACAGTATTCCTTATTTCTTAGTTTTGATAAAACTATATAATGTCAGTCTTTCACATCTCTGGGTTCCCCATAGATCAAATGAAAATGTAGTGAGGCCTATAACAGTGTGTCACTGTAGACTTTTTTCCATGTCATTAGTCCCTAAGCAATCCAGTACAACAACTATTTGCGTAGTACTTATACTTTATTAGCTATTACAAATAATCAAGAGATGATTTAAAGTACGTAGGAGGACAAGCTAATAGGGTAGGTTGTATGTAGTCTTTTTTATACAAGGGGTTTGAGAATCTATGTATGTTGGAATCCATGGACATATACCCTGAGAATGGAGAGGGATAACCATATAGTACATTTAACTTATTTTTCAGTATTATCTGGCAAAATTATCCCTCTCTGACATATCATTCTACTATATACCTGAGATTTTCAACACTACAAAATCAGTATTACCCTGATGGAATTTCCCAAATCAAAACAGTAACTTTAAAAATATCATAGATACTGAGATTTGCTGGTAAAGAGCTGGAACCAAATGCTTACCCTGTTAGCATACATGTGCCTGATGAAACATCTACCATTCCTCTAGAGAGCTCCTAGTTGTCAATTAGATGCATAGAAATGAGGGAAATCTTCTTTAGAGGCCAAACTGTCTCTGATACTAAGCCAGAGCTAATAATGTGCTAAGGCAATAAAATTCAATTTACAAAAGAGTAAACAGATCATGTTCTATAAAACACATGAAGGTACCTGACTTAGCAGTTTTGTTGCCGAATGCCATTCTACCTCAGCTAATGGGTCAAGAGTATTACTGAAGACATCAGACTCGAAACAAAGAGCTGTAATGAGAGGAAAAGAAATTAGTCCATATACATATGTATAAAATTCCCTAAGTCAAATTTTGACCAGAGGTAAAAAGCTCAAATTAGCTATTCTGCTCAGAGTATGAATGCTAGACAGCAGATATGATTATTTATATTATTGTGTGAAATAAGATAGCTGATTAGAATTAGTGATAAAATATAGGATCTTAATACAGTATAGATAAAAAAGGGCAAATTCTGGATTTGAGATTTGATCAGTTTCACTGGATTTAAAAATGCCCCTAAAATAGATTATAATGATGGAGACATAATTTTAAAACACATACCTATACAAATGCCACCTTTTGAAGACTGGCCAAATTTAAGGCAGATATTATATGAATATTGGACCAATTTAATTGAATAATTAGAACAAACACAAACCAAAACACCTGATTCACTCGTGTTTTCAACTATAGTGCATCATTCTTGAGAGGTTTGGAATTAACAGAAAATTTCATGAATATTTATTTCTTAGTTACTTATCGTTATCGTAATTCCCACTGTAATCATATATAAAATACCCACATTTTATTAAAACATGTTTATCAACTGAGTTATATTTCTCTTTAGAGTGATGCTTTTAAAATTATAGTTCTACTTAAAAGGCACTCACATTCATCACTTTCTCCTAATACACTGAGAGAAGTTGTGTGTGCTCTTGTTGTTATATTTGCTGGTATATTAAATTCATTTACATGGTTAGAATCCTTCATTTTGTTAATTTTGCCAAAACACCAAGTAACTCTTCGTTTTCTTTTAGCCTAAAGAAAAAGAAATAAAAAATTTCTTCACATAGATCTAGGCTCAGACATAATAAAATCAGGGAAGTAGACATTCTGAGATAAGAAAAAATTTTATAAATCAATATTTAATCTCAGAATAAATTTGATAAAACATTTCTTTCTTTTCCCTTCCTTCCTTCCTTCTTTGGGTGCTATGGTTTAAACCCAAGGCCTTGTGCCTATTAAGCACACACATGCTCCTATCATTGAGCTATATCCCCAGTCTCTAAATTTCACTTTTTAAACTTACAAGCTTTTCTGGGGCTTATCTGAAAGGAACATATTGACTCACAACCCTTTAGAAAATGTATTACACAGAAGAGACAAATGCTGCTGTTATCAACATAGTTACCCATAGCTACACCTTTGGGTACCTAGTTCTAACTAGAAAGAATCAGGCAGGAAGTAATACCACAAGCAGCCCATTTGATTTTCTTTTAGTAAATAAATCTTTCACAGGGCCTTCACAATTCCAATTCTCTTCCAATTTGCCTGGTAAAGTGAATACCTCCCTCAATGCTCACAATCTTATTTCCTTTTCCTCTAAAGATCCTGGTCTTTTAGACCTGGTCTTTTATCTCCTCGCTTCACAAATACTCAAGCCTCTTTGCTTGCTTTTGCTTAAACAAAACAAACCACCAAAAAGTCAACATCTTATTTAGCTCTAACTACTGCCTTCTTTTTTTGCTCCTACTTTGTCCTTGTCATCTTCTATGCATTCCTTCCTCATCTCTTCAGGGATCCTTCTGTCTCCTAGTTCTTATCCTACCCAATCTTTAGTCCTTAGGATTTTGCTGGTTTCTTCTCCTTTACCTGTCTCTTAAGTGTCTGTGTTTTTCCAGGTTTCATAGCCAACATTCCTTTTTGTCCCATCCCTAGGTACAATAATCATATAATCAAATTTGATCCTCTCATCACGCCAATGAGTTATGATCTATCACTATATCATTTTAATATGAGCTGGATGATCTACAGATTTGGGGAAGTGTATAAAATTTTTCAGACAACTGATAGCTGATGTCTATAATTTCAGAGCCTATCCATGCAACCATGCCACCATATTGCTTTATGATTATCTGTTGTCCCAGAATATGTTGCATGCTTTCATGGCTCGCTGCATGCATTGCAAAAGCCTAGTCATATATAAATCCTGTTTTTAACAGTCTTCATCTTAACTACATTTGTTCCCAAAGCCACACCTGGACCATGTCATTATTTGAAACCTTGAACTCCTACTCTTACCACATTTGCCATCCTTCTAAATCATTTACTCAGTTAATCTCACAACAGCTGAACTGAGACTCTTGCCTTGTGGTACCACTTCCCTCCTGCCAGCCTTCTCTTGCTTCTAATCCCATCATCTTAGACTCCATAGATCATCACTTCAATCATATTCATATTTGCAGTCAATATCCTCAAATTATTCGGCCCATTCTCTATTCCTCATACTCAGCCCACATGATGTACACTCATTTGATTTACACTACCTTTGGAACCTTAATCAGCCTCCTGATCACTGCCAGAGCCACACAGCCAGATAAGTGGCTGCCAACATCAATCAAGTCCTTAATGCTGCCTGGCAGGACTCTTCTCTTCCTTGTCAGCTTTCTTTTCCATTCCCTACAAGGGCTAGACCATTTCAAGCACTTGGAATATCTTCAGACTTGTGACTATCACAATCTATCACTACAGCAGAAAAATTAAATGTGTTCCACAAAGAAAATACAAACCCAAACTTACAAAAGTACTGCTTGCAGTTATGCCTATCCTTTCCCCTGTGTTTACTGCAATCCAAGGTATCTCTCTCTTCCAACCAAAGACCAGGTCCTTCTATCATATTCAAAAGTCCATCTAAGGCAGATTTTACTCTCATCACATAACTCAAATGGCTCTCGCCAATGAGTTCCTTATTCCTAAATGCAAAGAACATTTGTCTATGCTTATCTTTTTTTCACTTCTTAGCAGAATGTGATACCACTGATTACTATCTCCCTGAAATCTTCTCTGCTCAGCTGTCACATTCACCTTGTTTCCTTTTCAATGCTAGAACAGAATGTGGACTCATTTATGGATTCTTTTCTTGCCTTTACCTAAAAACTTGTTCTTGGGGAGTTGTACTTGGTCTCCTGTGCTTTCCATTCTCAAAATGCACCCCCCCCAGAACAAATTAGTCTATTTTCATGATTCTGACATGGATCTGGGATAGTAAATGCCCAAATTGTTATTCACATCTCATAATTTCTACCATTTTCATATATTTGTGTTATCAACTCCCTGACACCTCAAAATGAAGATGAAGATGTTTTCAAGCACCTCTACTGCTTTTTTTTGTGCTAACCACAACAAATTTTGTTACCAGCAAGCAAAGCAATATATGCAAGTCATTTTGAATACCTGCTTCTACCTTTCACTGCTCCCCAAAGTCCTGTTGTGTCTTATCTCCCAAATATTTCCCCAATTTATCCAACTTGGTACCTCTTCAGAGCCACAATTCTCATAAAAACTCAACTAATCTGATATGCACAATCTGTGCTTGCCAGGCAGATGGATCTACCACTTGAGCCATGCCCCCAGTCCTGTTTACTTTAGATGTTTTTGAATAGGGTCTTGCAATTAAGCCTGGACCATGACAGTTTACATTTCCTAACTATCTGGGATGGCCATGCATGCACCACCACACTCAGCTTTTATTGGTTAAAATGGGAGGGGGGTCTTGTGCACTTTTTGCGTGGGCTAGCCTTGAACCATGATCTTCCCTATTTCTGCCTCCCAAGGAGCTAGGATTAGAGGCATGAGCTAGTGCAGCTGGTTTCATTCATGAAAGTTCTATGTCCCTATTATGGTAACTTGTACATATGCCTATTAATACCTTACGATTGCTGAGGATTTGCTGTGTGGAAAGTACATGTATTTATATTCCAGATCAGTTTTTGTTTTCTAATCCTTTTCTTTTTGGGGTGGGGGGGGCAGATTAGGTTCTCATTATGTAGCCCCTGCCTCTACTTCCCAAGTGCTGAGATTATAGGTGTGTAGCACCACATCCAGCATTAGATCAATTTTCCTGAGACTAGTATTTTTACTTCTTTAAATAAATATTCCTCCATACTCTAGTGACCTATGGTTCTCATCACCTAGTCAGTTTCATTAGAATTAATTAAGAGAAAGCCAGGTACCAGTGGCTCATGCCTGCCATTCGAGCTACTTGGGAGGCTGAGATCTGGAAGATCACAGTTTGAGACCAACCCAGGCAAAAATTTTATGAGACTTCATCCCAACCAATAGCTGGGTGAGGTGGTGTGCACCTGTCATACCAAACTACTTGGAAGGCTGAGATCAAAAGGATCATGTGTGGTTCCAGGTCAGCCTGGGCAAAAAAGTTTGCAGGACCCTATCTCAAGGAAAAAAAGCTGGGGGAGGTGGTACATACCTCTCATCCCAGTAATGGTGAGAAGCATAAAACAGAAGGATCATGGTCCAAGCCAGACTGGGAAAAAATGAAACCTTATCTTCAAAGCAGCCAGAGCAAAAAAGGGCTGGAGGCATGGCTCAAGTGGTAGAATACCTGCTTCGCAAGCACAAAGTCCTGAGTTCAAATCCCAGTACCACCAGCAAAAAAAAAAAATTTTATTAAGAAGCATATTGTCAATAGTTTCTTTAGCTAAATCCTAGACTTTGTGAATTAGAATGTCTACATTTGAGAATTAGGGAGATGTATTTTTGATGAACGTCTTAGACAGTGCTGATGTATAGTCAAATATACAAAATGTTCTGGATTTCTTCAATGTACTATATCAAAAGATAAGAAGTATGTAACAGTACAATAAACATAAAAATTTCCATTCTATTCTCTATTTATATAGCTTAAGCTGCCATATTTTAAATTTCACCTTTAGTTCCTGCTGTGACGTGTGAGAGGAGGAGGTCACCAGCATCCGTGTTAAGTTCTGAATTTTCTCATCTTGTACTTTTTGAAGCAAATCTTTTTCATCCAAAAGTTGGGCCAATTGGTCTTTTTCCATTTCCTGGGCCCTAGTCTTTATATTTACCTATAGAATAACATTAGATTATGTTAATAATAAGTGTAGACAGATTTTTAAGCCTTGAAAGTAGCTTAAAAAACCAGAATATTAAATTTGTATATGATCTATGAGAATTATGATTTGAGTGCAATCAAATGTAACCTCTGTGCAGAACTTCAATATACAACAATTATACAACCATATAAAATATACAACCATAATCAACAATTTCTCAAATTTATGAGAATGTAAAATACACATTCTTTTTCATGTCACTGATTCTATGCACTATGTAAATGGTAACAATGCTGTTAAAACAATTCTATTAACTGCCTATGGATATACGAATAATAGAGAAGTTATAAAAACTGAGATTTAAATACTGACAGTAAAGGTAGAGATTTTCTCATAATATTATATTACTACCATTTGATATTTTAGTTCACTTTTTAAAACATCATTAAAATGAAACATTTTTACAAAGCATGACAAAAACAAACTAATTCGAATGACAGGTTGCTTATGCTGTATTACTGGAGTGCTATCTTAGGGTTAGAAGAATAATTCAGGAGAATGAAAATACAGAAGGTAGTTTTAAGTAACTATACGTGGAAGGTGGCAGATTAAAGACACCTGGTACTTTTCTGCATCTCCAAGAAGCTGAAACAAAATCAGGTGTGTGGCTATGGGGAGAAGTGGATGGCATGGGAGGACAACAGTAGACAGATATCACATGAAATCCAGAAATACTGAGCTTTAGATTACAAAGCCTTACAACAGGCCTGCAAACAAAAGAAATAAGGAAAGTTGTGCGGGCCTCCACAGGAACACAAGCTGTACTCTGGAAAAAATAAAGTTTAAGACAGGAGTCCCTTACAGAAAGGAGATGCTTGACACGGAGCCGCTGTACTGTGTGTCTAGCTTGCTCATAGGTGTTGTGGAGGGGAATCATTTTAGGAGAGGTCTTGCAGTCAAACCTTTTGGTCAGGGAGAGAAGACACATTTGTTTAATCTCCAAACCCAAAGGCCTCCTTCTCTCTACTGGCTAAGAGAGTAACTACCCTAGAATCAGCACAGACTCTGGAAACTGTTTGCCTTGGACTCAAGAGTCCAGTTCTACTTTGATGGGAAGTGTGAGCCATGCCACAGGGGAAACTTATCGGGGGAACTGCAGCCGAACTCAGATAAGAAGAGACAGCAGCTGTGTTTGAGTACAAGCAGGGGTGCTAGGACCAAGAACTGCAGGCCAGGGTACACAGGATCATTCAGAGCCTCATGCCTTCCCCAGCCAGTGCAGACTGCTTTGTACATTCTCACAGGGCCAGAGAAGAGTTGGAGGGAAACAGCCACTGCTCAGGAATCTCCCATGCCAAACCCACATAGAGCCTCTGGTGCAAGGAGACATACAAACTGGGGATCCTCAAGCTTGGCTGGTAAGAGAAATTTGAGGGAGCTCCAGCACTCCCACATCAGCAGGGCTGCATAAGGAAAGACAATGACAGGAGGTCAACATGGTCTATTTTGTTTGGACTTCAGAGAGAAAAATGGCTGTGCCCTACCCCACCACATCACAAAAGACAAATTTGGAATATGGGGGGTGGGAACCACTCTCTTCTCAACAAGGAAGAAATATTGACTGGTGGTTTTGTTTCTTTTTCTTTTTTAATTGTTTTGTCTTTCTTTTATTTTATTGTGTTCACCCTCACTATTCCTTCTTATACCTTTATCCCATATACTTTTCCTGTTTCCTATCTTGCTTCCTTTCTCCATTCTTTCTTTTTATTACTCAATTATCAATATCTAGTTTACCTATAAGTGTCCTAATTCCTTTCTTTTCTTACTGGGATTATAGTTGATGTTTCCAATTGATCTTACTAACTTTAATATCTGGTTTATTTTTGTTACTGCTGTCTGCTCTCTTCTGAGTGGTAGTGGGGCTTATGACCCCAAGAAAAGGCTGCACACTAAGAGACCTCCATGAAAAGGAAAAATAAAACAAAAAACCCTGAGATATTCATCTCAACAGATGTGTCAACTGTAACACAGAAACACAAGAAACATGAAAAAGCAAGGCAATGAGTCCTCCAAAACTCATTACTCCTTGATAACCAAATCCAAATATACTGCAAGGACCTAAAAGCAGGACAAAGAAATCAAAATCTAGTTTTAAAAATGATCAATGACCTCAGAGAGGATTCAAACAGATGAAGTAAGGAAATCAATTCAATACTGGGAAAAGAAAGTCAGCAACATGGATGAGAAATTCAGCAAGGAAATTGTGACTGTGAAAAGAAAACAAAAAGCTAACAGAACTATCAGAAATGAAAAAACTCAATAAATCAAATACAAAACAGTAGAAAGTGTCACCAACAGATTAGATCAGATTAAAGACAAGGTCAAGGAAATATACATTCAGACAGTAATAAGGAAAAAAAAATCCCCCAAATTCCAGAACTTTCAAGAACTGTGGGACCAAACTTAAAAATCTATGGGGCAGAAGGACCTGAGATAGAAACTAAAGGCATAGAAGACATATTCAATTAAATTATAGCATAAATTTCCGCATATCTAGGGAAAGAAACAGACATTCAATACAGGACATTTAGAACATCAAATAGACATGACTACAAAAGAAACTCTCTACATCGCATTATAATTAAAATGCCAAGAGTTATAGAACAAAGAAAAAATTATTGAAAGCTCAAGAGAAAAACACTAGTAAGATTCCAATAACTCAGCAGATACTAGCAATAATAGACAAAGGGAACTATATTAAATTAAAAAGCTACTGCACAGTAAAGGTAACAATTACCAGAGTACAAGGATAGCCCACAGAATGGGAGAAAAATCTTTGCCAGTTATTTATCTGACAAGGAATTAATATCCAGAATACATAAAGAACTCAAAAAATTAAACACCAAAAGAATAATGTAGTAATGAAATGAGCAAAGACCTGAATAAATAATTCTTAAAAAATAGTATAAATGGTCAATCAATACATGCAAAAAATTCCAAGTTCCTTAGCTATCAGGGAAATGCAAATGAAAACTACACTGAGGTTCCTTCCATCTCACTCCAGTCAGAATCACCAAGAAAACAAACAACACTGGTGAGAATGGGGGGTGAGGGGGTCTTGGGGAGAAACTTATACAGTGCTGCTAGGAATGTAAATTAGCTTAGCCAAAATGGAAATTAGTATGAAAGATTCTTAAAAAAAAAAAAAAAGAACTATCATTATGATCCAGCCATACCATTCTTGGGTATATACCCAAAGGAATCAAAGTTAGCATACAACAGTTATCTGCACACCCATTTTTAATGTAGCACTATTTCACAATAGGCAAGCTATGCAATCAGCCTAGGTACCCATCAACAGATAAATGGATCAAGAAAATGTGGTTTATGTACAGAATGGAGTATTACTCAGCCATAGAGAAAACAAATTATGTTACATGCAGGAAAATGGATAGAACCTGAGATCATCATGTTAAATGAAGTAAGCCAGACCCAGAAAGACAAATATTCCCCATTTTCTCTCACTTATGTAATCTAGATTTAAATAAAAAAAAGACAGTAGAAAGGTTACTATTTTGGAAAGAGGAAGGTTACCGGGAAGAGGGGTTTGGAGGAAAGAAAGGGTAATGGGGGCTGAAAATGACCCAAGTACATCATATACATACATGAACATACTATAATAAAACCCATTATTTTGTACAGTTAATACATAAGTATATATGGTCTCTGATTTTTTTTTTTTTTGCAGTCTTTAGGTTTGAACTCAGGGCTTACACTTTAAGCCACTCTACCAGCCCTTTTTTGTGTTGGGTATTTTTGAGATAGGGTCTCATGAACTATTTGTCTTGGGTTGGCTTCCAACCGAGATCCTCCTCATCTCTGCCTCCTGAGTAGCCAGGATTACAGGTGTGAACTACTGGAACCCAACCCTCATGGTCTCTGTTTTTAACCTAATTCAGTATGTACTTGTTAAAAGTTGTAAAAAGTATTTTTACTTGATTAAAAAAAAAATCATCTCAAATCTTGCCCTTTGGAAATAAAAAATAGAAACCTAAATCAATTTCAAGAAACTAAATCTTTCAGTTTATAGTGAATTAAAGTTGAATTGTGTTTTGTGTGTTTAGAGATTGCATATGCTAAGCAAGTACCCTACCATTCAGTTAAATTGTTATTAGTTAAAAATCATTTGCTGTAGCAACTCTGATGTTCATGAATTGACGTCTTTTGGGTGGATCTCCATTATTCTCTTTTGTTCCATATTCATTATTGAAATAGATGATTCATACATACCTCCTCTAACTGTTTTTTAAGATCCACTATTTCTTTTCTATATCTTTTCAGAAGAGCTTCATCACTTGATACCTCATTGACATAAGGAGTATTCTTCATGTATTTAGCAGTGCTGGCAAACTAGGGAAAAAATACAGAAGTATAAAATTTTCAGTATTAAACCAATTCTCAAACTAATGTTTGGGTTCTTTGTAATCACATTTCTTTAAAAAAACAAAAACAAAAACAAAACAAACTCTTCTTAGTTGGCTTAATACTTTTTAATATAGGGGACATTCTATGTCCTCCTAACAATGCTTCTTAACTTATTCTGGCCTATACTCTTCAGGGAAGCTGAAGGAATATTTTGAAGATACCTGTCAAGAGACCCTACAAATACTGGCTTACTGGAATTCCATCCACCCTCTAGGGTACTTGCTCTATCCTGAAGCTCCACTTCCAGCCAGAAATTTTTCCCTTTCTGTTGAACTCTATCCAAATTATTAGCCACTTAACTATTAATCCAAGGCAATCATGTTGGAAAGCAAGTCTTATCTACTCTATAAATCCTTGAAACTAGGAATTTTTATTTTCTACCTTTGTACTGCGGGCAACACCTTGACCCAGTGCTCAACAGTATTTAAAGCAATGTTCTCATAGTATGAGTTCTAGAAGAAACTTCAAGTGGGTACGTGACGGTGACCATTAAACAACACAGAATCCTTCATTGAGATAGCTGTTCTATTAATTTTTTGCATTTCTTCTTTCCTTTCCTTTCTTTTTTGGTGGCACTGGGGTTTGAACTCAAGACCTCATGCTTGCTACGCAGGCACTCTATAGCTTGAGTTACTCCGCCAGCTCTCTTTCCTTTCTTTTTTAATAGAAAATGCAAGCCTGTGGCTCTAAGCAAGGCAGACAATAGCCAAAAGTTAAGAATTATTTTGTTATGCACATTATATATACATACATACAGACAGACGCATACATACATGTACATATACCCACACGAGTATCTATTCTTTGGGTTACTTCCTATTTTTGGCAAAGAATACTAGTTTTTCCATTTATGGGACTGACAAAGTTTGCTTTTGAAGTAAATTATGTATAAAAAGTGAGTTGTTTAAAAAAAAATCAAGTCAATTTCAGTTAAAATACTGTTAGATAGTGAGATACAATTTTTAGTGAGGTGTGGGAAAATTAAATTCAGAAATACCTACTCAGTAGATAACACAGCAATTTTATAACAGGCATTATATTAATTAATGAAAACTACACTGAATTTTAGTAGGTAATTTTTTCTTCTCAAAGTTGATCTCTCCCCATTTTAAGTTGAAAAAATAAAAATCAAACTTACCTGGAGAGTAGTAAGTGTTTCTTCAAAAGACACTGGAGTAACTGTGCAGATAATACGTGTTTTTGCATTTCCTCCCAAGGAATTCTGAAGAATTCGTGTCAATTTGCTATCTCGATAATTTATGAAACCACTTAAGAAGAAATGAGTTTGGGAGGAAAAATATTGAGAATTCTTACAGAAATAAAAGTGGTTGGTTTTTAACACAAAATACTAAAATTAGTTCTTTATAAATTACATGAGGCAGATCAAAACTACTAACTAAGCAATATTTAAATAGAAAACAAATTCAGTATGCTAGAATCGTTTATATAAGAAGCTGTGCTCACAGAATTCCAAAAGCTTTTGAATATGTCAAAGAAAGCAATATACTTGGTTGTTATTGAAGTATTATTAATTTCAACCTAATAAAAACACAAGCAATAAGTAAAGAGTACAATGGGACAAACTCACCCAATTTGTCCATCACTAAGTTTCTTGATCACTTGTCCCAAGATAAATAAGCTTCGATTTATATTGCAGCCTTCCTTGAACCGCATACCTAATTTTATTAAACAAATATGAAAATTGACCTCCTGAACCAACCAGGTGACAAGCTTATGTTTCAGGGAGTTACAAGAGAAACAAGACATGTTTAGCTTAAAAAGCACAAAAAGCACGTATTTTATTGTTTTTATGTTAAATCTAGAAATTGCACACATAGGCTTGGCATCTTTGTGATCTTGAATCTTCCCACACAAGTGTGCTTTCCCATTTTTTTCAAGCATGTCTTTATATCCTTCAGGTTTAATTTAAAGTTTTCTTTTTAAGATCTATTAATTTTGTACTCCTCATCTTTTTTGGCTTTTCTTGTGTTTTATTACCTATATAAGAAGAACTGGACAAATTAAATGCCCAATCTTGTCATGACAAATTAGATTCCATTTACCTAAGTTTGATACCAATGTTGAATTCTTAACATATAGATGCATTTGGATGATATGCAGTACTATTTTTCAAATACTAGAAAATGGTAATTCTTGGAGTGATTTTGTTAAATGTTCTTTTTCTTCTCAGGGCTAACCATGTTCTTTAGTTGACATCTGTCTATGTAAATTTGAAAGGGCAAACATGCCAACAAAAAATATGTAATCTGAGAATCCTGGAATCAGAATGTTAGTACTGGAAGGATGACTCCCACTATCGTTCTTAATTTCCTCACTAATTAAGAAAGTTGAGATGGTTTTTAATGGTATTCTTGTGAGCTTTCCATTTATACAACCCTGTCAACTGTACAATTTTAGTTTTTTAATTGATGCTATACAGCTCAAAGTAAATTAGCTAGATACAGTTACTGAATTATATGTTAAAGACTTTAATCAGAAAATTGTTACTTTATCTGTTTCTAAAGATGCCTATTGCATTTTTTATCTCATAGAACAATAGGAAGATGTTAAGACAAGTTCCTATTACCTTCAGCTCCTGTTTGAGCAGCTCTTTCACTGCCTGCAAGATCAACCAAATTCTGTAGGATAGATGAAAATAAGCCTTTAGGACAGGTAACTTGAAACAGATGAAAATATACTTTTAGAAAGGGTAATTAGACATAATAAAATCCAAACTACTGAAGGAATGTCTTAAAAACATGGCGTACTGAAATGTTCCATCTGTATCCTTATCTCCTATCCCACTATTTAGGCATTCCCTAGCACTCACATGCCCTGATTTAGATACCCACAGCAAAACAAAGCACAAAAACAACCTCCCCCTCACTATTTATTATATAAAACATATTTCCTACTGTTCCTAAGAAAAAACTTGAACAATGTGATTACATTTTAACTCTTCTAACCTATTTTTTTGTTGACCACACAAGTCTAAATAATATTGGCTGGGAAAAACAAAACAAAAACATCCAGGACTGGTGGAAAGGCTCAAGCAGTAGAGCGCCTGCCTAACAAGTGTGAAGCCCTGAGTTCAAACCCCAGTAGTAAGACAAAAAAATCCAAATTCTACAATCACTTAAACTCTCAGATATGTGTAGAAAAAAACTCATTCGTGGTTAGGAAAAAGCCTCAATTCATGTAGATCTCACATCTAAATTTTAGGACATATCAGGAAGAAATTTCTTCTAAGTTCTTCCTATAATATTTCAGCTAGGAATTGAATGCTATTGACGAGACCAGGTAAACTGCTAATTTACATGTATTTTTCATATTTAGCTAAGAGTTCTTATTAAGCTAAGTATCCAGCAGCTAAATTAAATCATGTCTTGGTCCATATGGTACATCATTATGGTTTAGTAATACTCACCAAATGAGACACCTTGATAGATCCATCACAATTAGAAGATTCACCTTTCTCTCTACTTTCTAAAATCTAGGCAGAAAAAGCAACATGTAAAAAATGAGTGCATTCTTGGAAAGACCAAATATAGGTAGAAAGATAATTACCCACCATCCTAAAAATGGTATGAGAACGACTGCTTCTTTGATTCATTTTTGTTATTCCATAGTGTCTGTTCTCTGTAAAAATGAGTTACATTTCAATTACACATGTTAAAGTCTAAGGAAAGCATAAAATTTTAATTTTAGCCTAATAATAATAAGTATGATCCCAAATCTATTTTATTTTAGCTTAACAATTAAGAAGTTGCTTTGATTAAGAAAGCTTTTATAAATGTTTTCAGGAAACACAGCATAGCCTTACTTTCTCCCTTTGTGATCCACTTCAAAGCCATTTCTGATGTATAAACCACTTCTTCTGTGAGATCAGCAACATACACATTTCTCTGAAACCATTTTAATTATGGAAAGATTAGAGAGAGACAGTCAAACTATGCTTTGAAAAAAGAAGGTGCAAACTACTGCAGAATTCTTTTGTGGAAGTTAAAAAATAGAACCACTATTATATAGAAAAGTAGCAAGCACATCTATGTATTGTCACAATTTACTGCACACATCAAAGCAAACCAAATTCTACCCTGACCTTTCCATTTTGCTATTTGTAGGCTGCCAGTATTTTAAAACTACGCACATGCTTAAAAGATGGATCTCTATAAACACTTAAAAAAAACAAAACAAAACAAAAAAAACACCAGACAGAAAACGAAAACATAGAATATAAACAGGACACACTTTACAAATAATCACAACAATCCCATTAAGTGAGTCTGTTATAAAGACACCTTAATTCTGTTACTCACATTGATGTCTTCCCGAATTATCAAAGGTTTCATTTTTCAGTGTTGCAGAGTAAATCTGTAATGGTTTCATTGTATATCTCCATGTAAGACACACGTAAGAGAAATTCTCTGTCAGGAAACTGGAAGAAAAAATGTATAAAGCACTCAGTAATAAAAACCTAATACTGAATGTTTATCTGCTAATATTAAAGAGGTAAAGAAAGTTATCTTTGTTAAACAAGCAAACAAAACCCATGGCATTATGCTGACAATAAATACAAAGATAAAAAAAAATTGTTCCAGAAATAATAAAAAGTATGCTGTCATGAAGAATTACATAATCCAACTAAAATAAAACCTAATAACAGATATCTTTACTTCTTTCTGCTTTCCTTCTTTTACCTACGTTTACTTTTTACACAGGCAACGTGGAACTAACCATTCTGATAAGATATTCAGCCTACTTTTTGTTGGGAGAATAACTGTTGCAGAACTCAAGAACTTCAAGCTCTATAAAGTTCGTGGAGACAAAACTGAATCTATGCTATGCCTTTATCCTTTTACCAGAGAAACAAAGAGATAAGCATACATTTACTTCCTCTCATCTTTATAAGAGGAAAATACGAAGACTGCTATCCAATTATCACAACTTTTACCTATATGTACTAGGAGGTCAGTTAAGATTTTACCTTCTTAATTTTTTGGAAAATGTCATGAATTGCCCTGGGTATAACTCCTAAACAGTCTTCTGAACCCATCATAGTATGTGTTTTTCCTGAAGCAGTCTGCCCATAGGCAAATATAGTGCCTGTAAATACAAAACGCACACATACAAAATTAAATATCAACCTAAGTGAGTAAAACTATTAATACTTGTTGAATAGATACTCAAGACTAAAATGCTTTTGCAGCATGAAGGGAATACAAACCATTGTAGCCTTGTATAGCAGAATCGATGATTGGCACTGCTATTTCTTCATATACATTTTTAGTAGTTTCAATACTTTGAAAGACACGATCTGAAAAGACAAGAACACAGAAGCTGAATCAAACAAATTAACTGTTTTCACTGAATTAGTAATAACTCAGAAATGTCAGGATGTTGAATTAAAACATTTTTAGAACAGTACTTTCAACTTTATCTTTTGAAAATATCCTTCCCCAAAGTAAAATGTGTTGGTCCTTGCAAATAAAAAACACAAAAGTCAACTATCCTATATTTTCAAAAAGCAGAAGGGCATACTGGTTACATACGACGCTCTAGAATTTGACTGTCTGCATGCTAATCCTAGTTTTACCCTTTATAAGCTGTGTGACCTTGACCAGGGTGGTTGTCTGCATGTTTCTGCCTCTGATCTATAAAATGGGTATATATTATCATTCTTACAGAATTACTGTAAGCATATGGTTGATACTTGGAAAATGTGAACTATTATCGTAATTTGAAAAATTTAAAGTTTTGTAAATATCTCAAGATAAATCAAGAAATATGGACATATGAAAGAAAAGCACTGAAAAAATTAAAGTATTATAGGAAATGACCAGTTGTCAGAATCTAGGGTAGCACTTGCACTGGTGAATTTATCATTCTAGGGTCTGTGTGGTGTGCTAAAAATGGGCTGCTCTTTCAGTGGTGGCCTCATTTGAAAAAGCTCATAGGAAACAGATTTGTAAATGAGGAGGGACTTAAAATATAAGAAATTCAGTGATCATACTGTTTGTATCATGAGGATGGAAGCATATGGGAGACCCAAGCATCATCTAAAGGCTGCTTAGGGGGGTTATGATTTCAGAGCGAGGGAAGATGGTAGTTTGATTAAAACTTAATGCCATTTATCTCAGGGAGGTGGATGAGTCCAAATCCACCAAACACTTATAGTACCAGAATCTGAATGCTTAAGAATCTCTCAAAGTCACAGAGCTTATAAAGAGTAGAACCAGGATGGCATCCAGTCAGATTCTACAGCCCCATATGCAACTTGGTTTTTATAATCTCTGACATACATTGTTTTACTTTTTAAAAAATTATGTTAATGTCATTAATGAGAATCATTTTATCTCCTAGACTTTTCTGTACCAAAATATTATTTGTTGACTCCCTGGTTTTGTAATACCTAATCACTCATCCGAAGTTGTTGAGTGGACCTTTGTTGCTTTGTGCTACCTTGGCAGCAATTATAGTGCTGTGGCTAGAACAGAGATTGGAGCCAGATTCTTCTATTTCATGACTATGTGATTCCAGCCTTCTTTGTTTTAGTTCCTCATTAAAATGGGGAAGGCAACAGACTTGTTAGGAAGATCAAATGAGTTACTATACATGAAGTGCTTAGGCCAGTGTTTGGCACGTGATCAGTACACTATACATATGAAGTCAAAACTTTTTAGGCTTCTAAATCCTTTGGGATAGAAATCCTTCAGGTCTTAGTGAAGCAGCACCTTTGTGGATACTTGGACTAAGTGAGAGCCCTCACTATAAACTCCTGAAAAGTTTATCTCTTCACAAGATGTCTACCACATGGTAAGCTCCACAAAAGCTGAGGAGAGATCCTACTATATGTTAGCAGACAAAGAAATATCTGTGCCATTTATTATTTAAAGAGTTTGATCTAAAATAATCAGGAGTGAAAAATAACTGGGAACTGGGTGCCCACACCTGTAATCCTAGCTACTTGCGAGGCTGAGATATGGGAAGATCATAGTTTGAGGCCAGTCTAAGCAAATAGTTCCGAAGTCCCCCCTCTCCAAAATAACCAGGGCAAAATGAACTGGAAGTATGGTTCAAGCTGTACAGTGTCTGCTTTGCAAGCACAAAGCCCTGAATTTAGCCCCAGTCCCACCAAAAAAAAAAGTACATTATATGCATGTATGAAAATACAATAAGGGAACCCATTAAAAACTGTTTAAAAAATAAGAAAAATAAAGGGTGTAGTGGAAGCATATGAAAGAATAGTAACAGGATGAATTTGATCAAAGTCCATTATACACATACATGGAAATATCACAATGAAAACCCTTTGTACAATCAATATGAACTAATAAATAAAAAGTAAGAAAGAAGATAAAAGAATTGTCAAGAGTATACTAAATTGAGAGCTCTTTAAGATGACTTGACATTTTGGGTTTCTGGAGTTTCCGGTCATAAACTAATCAATAAGAGAACATGTTAGTTTCAGCCATTAATGTACTATGGTTACAACTGTGTTGAAACATCAGTTTATTATCTTACTTAACACACATGATGGATAATTTAATTTTTTTGTTTCCAGTGAGCTGAAAGATCGTTAATGACAAATCTAATATTATTGATATGCCTTTTTTATTTTTAATAGTAAAAGGGTAACAAGCTGACTTAAAATTATTTATGTTTATTTTTTTGAGACAGAGTCTTGCAATGTAGCCCACTAGCCTTGTCCTCTTGATTCTCCTGCCTTAGCCTCCGGAGAGCTAAGATTATAGACCACCAGGCCTGGCACAAGCTAACTTTTGACGCTATTATAAGCTTACCAAAATTGAAGGATTTACTCCCATCAGCCTGATAAATAACATTACTGTCCGTTTTCCAGTAAACTTGGGTAGCTTCGCCAAGTTCTTCTTCTCTAAAAGAATAAAAACACTGCATTTCAACACAGTACAACTAATCATAGAAGTCATGTTATAGGAAGGATAATTTAAAAGATTTAATGTTCTGAAGAGTACTTTTAAAAATGGTGATAAATTTTATTTAAGAGGAAGATGGAAAGGCTATCTTGGAAGATTTAAGGACCAACTCTCTTAAAAGGGGGTTTAGTGACCTGCCCTCTCTTAAGAGCTTCCTCCAGAGCTCTTCAATCCCTCCTTGTTCCCCAGTACCAGGAGCTGGAGGAATAGATTCGAAATGCAACTCTGATTATGCCCCTATTGCTTAAAAACTTCTGGAAAATTGTGAAGTGCTTAAGATGAAACCATATACCTAGATCTTGTCATTTCTCTCTTAACCCCTGATCTTCCTCTAAACTTCCCCCCCCACACCCCTAATAATCACATTAAATCAACCAATCTTCTCCAAACAACAGATTTAATCTCTCTGTGCATGAATACTTCCCTTCCATTAAGCAACCTACCCATTCTTCCATTCATTAAAAAGTGTCAGGACTTTCCTAACACCATCCTATCCCACCCAAACTGTCATCTCTGGGAGACTCCCCTAGCAAACACTCTTTACTTGCTCAACCTAACACTTGTCACACTGTATTGTAATGGTCTCTATGTAAATGTTTTCCCAAATTAGAGAATAAGCTTCTTAGTAGGAAATTTCCACTTTTTCTTCAAACACAAAAAGTGAGTTTTAAGGCCGGAGGCCACCAAAGCCCATAAACTTATTACCCTTCCTGCTGTATAACATTTATTGCTCCTATTACTACTTAACATTCTGTTTTTTACTTTGCTTTTTGTCTCCTCCCTCAAGACAATGTAGCAGCGTTTGTTTAGTGCATCATAATGCAATTTAAAACAAACAAACAAACCCAATATTGATAAATATTGGATGAATTAGTAGACGGGCGAAGCCTGGTGTCTACTGCATGCAATGCAAGTCCTTGCTGTCCGGTGTTTGGCCAGTCGGGTGTGAAACGCCAACGCTACAGGACTTCCCAGGCCATGCAGATGCGGAGCAGGCAGTGCAGGGCAGGGGAGGGTCATTACCACCGTGACCCTGAACTACATCCCAGTGACTCCGGGAAGCCGCCGCGGTACTGGACAGCGGAGCCGGGGCTCCAGGAAACGTCGGGGACCCAGCCTCCCGCCAGGCCGCGTCGGTGGGAAGCCGTACTGGGAACCCCGCCACCGTCCCGCCCTCCTACCTGCTATTGAGCGGCCGGACCCGCACGCACACGGCCACTGCAGCTTCCTCGGCCATCACGCCAGGCTGTGTCCCAGGAAAATGCGGCAAACCCTCCACCGAGCAGGACCGCGGGGGCCGCCCCGCCTTTAAGTTTAAAATTTCCCAAACGCCGCCGCTGATTGAGCCGCGGGCTCGTGACGTCACGGGCCATTCCATCCGCGGCACGAGGTGGGGGGAGGAAGACCGGAGGCGCGCCCACAACTCTAGAGCACAGGGGGGATTTAAAGGATTCGTGTTGCAGAGTTGAGCGGGAGACCTCAGCGACCCTGTCCCTGGAGCTGGAGGAGAGCTGTTGTCGCGCAAGTAGATGGAATTACTATTACCTCCTAAAAGTCATCCTCAACAACCGTCCCCCCGTTCTTTCTGTAGAGCAATCTGGGCAGAGATAGATTTTTTTTCACTAACAAGAGAGAATTAAAATCTTTTGAAAAAAACTCCTAACAGTTTTTTTTTTTTTCTAACAGTTTTTGAAAAAAACCTCAAAGGTCAAGAGTGCAAACTCACTGCCCAGTCCGGAAACATAAGAAGCTCGTTGCACTTTTTAGAAACTCTGGGTTTAGGTTTTTTCTTTTTCTTTAACTTCTGTTTACCATTGGCAGTGAGAATGTAGAGAAAAGAATTACCGAAGACTGGAAAAACTCGTTTAGCTTCTATTAGCTGAGGAAGTGCGGAAAGTGTTTCTAATCTTTTCCCAAAAATAGCGTTTAGTTTTCCTCTGTCTTAGACATGTGTCAAGGGCCGGGGATGTAGTTCATAGGTGGAGTTCCTGCCTCACGTGCACAAGCCCTGGGTTCCATCCCCAATTCTGCAAAAACAAAAATAAAAAGGTTAATTTAGATATGCGTCATACAAAAGTACTAACACCCTCCTTACGAGAACTTTTAGTCCTTTTCTTGGTTGATTTAGGGGCACCTCAAGAATTATTTACTTTCCCTTACCAAAATATGACTTGCAGTTCATAATTGTTCATTACTTGGAGAAGTTGAAAACTACTTATTTGATAAAAATATTTTGGAAGGTCATTTGGTGGTATTATTGAGAACAGGAATTGTTCTTTATTGCAGCAATTCTACTTTTAAGAATTTACATACAGATATATTTGAAGAAGTGTGCATATACACACAGTCCCACAAGCACATATGCACCTACAAGCCTATTCATTTCAGCATTGTTTACAAAAACAAATGACTAGAAACACATTAAATGCCAATGGCATTATATCCATATCCAGTGACTCACTACGTAGCTAGTAAAAGGAACAATCTAGTTCTCCATGTGTACTATAGAAAGTATGCAATATGTTTCATAAACTGGAAGAAATGCAAAGTACAGAATTATTTGCACAAAATGGACCAATTTGACATTTTAAAAAGATATTTATTTATCTAGATGTTTATGCAGAGTCTCTGGAAAGATATGTAGAATATACTTAATTTTCTTGCAGAGTTAGATAATAGCTATCTTTTGTTGCATAATATTTTATAATTAACAATATTTTAAGTATATAAATATTAAGTAGTTTCGATTTAAAAACTAGTTAGTACATAAGTGCACTCATTCAACATTTATTTTGGAAAAAAAAGATTTGTCTTGGTTAACACCTGATGTGCTAATATTGACTATTTTTTACTGTTGCCAAACTGTGAAGCTACTTAGCTGTATTTAATAAAATGCTGTAGTTTGGATAAGTATCCCCCAATAGCCAATAAGTTATAGGCTTGGTTCCCAGTCTGTGGTGCTATTGGTAGGTGGTAGAACTTTAAGAGGTGGGGGCCTAGTGAGAGGAGGTAAGTCACTGAGACATGCCCCTCCCATCATGAAGTGATGGCTTCCTCTGGCATGCACTCCCACCATGATGTTACTGCTACACCACAGTCCAAAGCAATGGGCCACTGACAGTGGACTGAAACCTCCAAACTATGAGCCCAAAGAAACCTTCCCTCTTTATAAATTGATTTATCTCAGATATTTGTTACAGTAATAAATGTGACTCTGGATGGAATTGGAGAACATCATTCTGAGTGAGGTTAGCCTGGCCTCAAAGACCAAAAATCGTATGTTCTCCCTCATATGTGGACATTAGATCAAGGCAAACAACAAGGGGATTGGACTGAGCACATGATAAAAGCGAGAGCACACAAGGGAGGGGTGAGGATAGGTAAGACACCTAAAAAACTAGCTAGCATTTGTTGCCCTTAATGCAGAGAAACTAAAGCAGATACCTTAAAGCAACTGAGGCCAATAGGAAAAGGGGACCAGGAACTAGAGAAAAGGTTAGATCAAAAAGAATTAACCTAGAAGGTAACCCCACGCACAGGAAATCAATGTGAGTCAACTCCCTGTATAGCTATCCTTATCTCAACCAGCAAAAACCCTTGTTCCTTCCTATTATTGCTTATACTCTCTCTACAACAAAATTAGAGATAAGGGCAAAAATAGTTTCTGCTGGGTATTGAGGGGGAGGGAGGGGTGGAGTGCGTGGTAAGGGAGGGGGTGGGGGCAGGGGGAGAAATGAACCAAGCCTTGTATGCACATATGAATAATAAAAGAAAATGAAAAAAAAGTTGACTCTGCTCCCTTTGGTAACATATGACTAATATATAAATAATACAGAGTTGAGGTGTGTTTCATTTATATTTTTTAAAGAAATTGTGGTAAATATTGTATATATTTAGCTGAAGGGAAGGAGCTTAGGAGGCAGAAGAAGGGACAGGTAATTAATGAAAGTCCTATGATGAGACAAAGGGCATTTGTTCAAGAGCAGAGAAGGGCATTAGCCTTTCACAGCTGTGCTTATGATTGTTGCATGGCTGTCCTTTTATATCATCATCAGGTAACAACGAAGATTCTATATCCATGTTTTCATTTAGTCATTAAAATTTGTGCATCAGGAACTATTGTGCAACTTTGTGTCGGATACGGTTCTAGGCTCAGAAGGCACAAGAGTGAACGGAATAAACAAACCACCTGCTACCTGCTGTCAGAGCAATTATTCTCTTAGGGAAGATGGATAATGCACAAAATATCTCTTCTCTGTCTCTTGGTCTTGGTCTCTCCACTTCTCTCTCTGCCTCTCTGTCTCTGTCTCTCTCTTTACACACACACACACACACACACACACACACACTCACACACATATCATGTGGCATGAGTATTGAGAAAAAAAGTCAGAGAGAAGGTGAAGGTAGGAGTGCTAGTTTCTTATGGAGCATATTTTTATGGAAAGAAATAAGCAATACAGAATAATTATATAAACTAAATAAGTAAAATATCTTATGATGGGAGGAGGGACCAGTTAAAAAGAGATGTTAGAGATAGCCTAAGGGCGAAACCTATATGATAAAAATTAGCCAAGATTGAGAGGGTAAAGGGACACAGCTTACAGATAAAGGGACAAACAAGTCAAAGAATCCAAGGTTATGTGAGTTCATTTTGTCCTGAGGCACAGAAGGAAGGCCTTTTGGCTTGGGCATTTGGAGCAATGGAGAGAGGAGGTGGAGCCACAACCGAGGGACTTTGGTTGTAACTAGATGAACAACCGTCTATTCTCTATGAAAATCTCTCCATGTGTGCGGAGATCCTGTTCCCGACTTGCCGCTCCCTCTGTCTCCCATCATCTCCACTCTAAAAAGCAGTCTCATCAGCAAACATATGCCTAGCTTTTCTTAATCTGTCTTGGGTATCTAGTAGATACAGTAAACTTAAAATATCTAATACCAAGTTCATGACCTTCCCCTAAAAACCTTCAGCAGCAGTTTTCAGCCTCTCAGCTGATGGTAAGCCTTCCTTTTGTTAAGTAGGGCTGCAGACTGCTGCCATGCTGCAGACTGCTGCCATGCTGCTCAGCCTTTCCTTTTCTCTCAAAGTCTGCATTCCAAGTCTCTAAAAAATTCTCTCAGACTGCCTTGAGAATATTCAAGAATATGACCATTTATTTCAACTTCTGCTGGAGTTTATTCTGTATTGCCTGCCTGGTCCAAAATATTATTTCTCATTGAACTCAACTCATTGAGGGTGGTCTTCCTGTACCACCCTCACTGCCAGTCTATTTATTCTTGATGCAATGATTTGAGTGATCCTTTAAAAATGTAAGTCAGGTCACATCACTCCTCTGTCATGATACCCAGTGTCACCTCTCTCCTCCACTCCCTGATTTCTCTCACAATAAAACTCAAAGTCTTTCAGTTGTTTCACAAGATCTTATCCTTTTCTTTTTTTCTTTTCTTTATTTTGTGTGGTGTTAGCATTAAACCCAAGGCCTTATATATGTTAACATTCACTCTGCCAGTGAGCTATGCTCCCAGTCCCCAGTCTTGTCCCCTGTTGCCCTTATGGCATTGCTTCTTACCACTATCCCCTTTGCTTTCTCCACTCCAGTCACAGTGGCCCCTTGACATCCTGTTGAATTCTACACAGGCTCCTGCTTATAGTCTTTGCACTGGATGTTCTTCCCAGTGGGTAGGCTTTACTCAGCTATCCATGTTTTCCTCTTTTCCTGTGATTCTAATATCTGCTCAAATGTCACCCACTTTGTGTAAAATATCATCCCCTTGTCTGTTGCCTCTGTTTCTTTATTCTTCTTTCAATTTTTACTTATAACTTTTAGAAATACATATATGAACTAATTTATGAATATAATATCTGTCTCCTCCCACTAGAATATGAACTCTGAGGTGAGCAATGTAACTTTTTATCCCTTATCCCATATTCTTAGAAAGATGCTTGGCATAAATGTTCAGTTATAAAAATTGCATACTCAATCACTCAATAAATATTCACTGGCATAATTTTTGAAAAGATATATGGAATACACTTAGCTTCTTTTGGAGAGAGTGGACTGAGTTGGAAAATAGATTTACTTTACATTGTATACTCTTTCATAAGTATTGCTATTTTAACCATGTGAACACTAATTTCTCTCAAGTTATAGCATTAGCTATAGATTAAAAATAGTATCTAAAACAAAGTCTGTTCATTCAAGATTTGTTTAGCTTGTCCATCTGTCAACTTGTATG